GGGACGGAGACTCAAGCTATCCCCCCTGGGTAGAGTGCCATGGCATCACGCTCAGCAACCTCCAACTCCTGGGCTCAAGCGAGTCTCCTGCCTCAGCCTCCCAAGTAGCTGGGACTACAGGCACCCGCCACAATGCCTGGCCATTTTTTGGTTGCAGCCATCATTGTTGTTTGACGGGCCCGGGCTGGGGATTCGAACCTGCCACCTTAGGTGAATATGGCTGGCGCCTTAGCCGCTTGAGCCACAGGCGCCGAGCCAACTGATCATTTTTTCATCTCATTTAATAAAAAATGAGACCAAGGCCACGCTACTGCACAGACTTTTGAGTTGTGAGTAGGGCCATTACAAATGGGTCCCAAGATGAAGCCAGTAGGCTGATCAGATGTATTGTGCCTGTTACCTTAGGAAGGATTTAACCACACACTGTAGCATTCTGGCTCTGGGAGAGAGGCAGATCTGAAGTTCAGTTCCAGCTCCGACTCTTACTAGCTGTGTGAACCTTAGGCAAGTGACTGTGTGCGCCTCAATGTCCTTGTCAGTAAACTGAGGGTGGTACACGTGGTACATATCTGAGGGAGCAGTTGTGAGTCCATTCTAAATTGTCAGCTCTGGTCTGTGAAGAGCTGCTGCAGTTAGAGACCCATACATCCAGTCTCAATGAGGCTTTGAGACCCAGCCCTAGTCTCTCTGCCCCCTTTTAGCCTCCCCTGAGACCCTGGCAATGGCAGGATTTCACGATTACCTGGATCATAAAGGATTCTTCAGATCTCAATCACTCCTCCTTCGCACTAGGCCTGGGGGAGCCTGCGTGTCACTCTGACTGAGATCAGCCTGCCTCATCCCTCTCTCCCATCTGTTGCTAAGGGGAATGGTTTGGGCGGAGGAAGACTTGGCTGGTCTTGAGCTATCTGAAAGGATAACGGTGCCTCTGACTTTTGTGGACAAAAGAGAAATTCCGTGGAGACACACAAACCACGCAAACTGGGGGTTGGGGATAGGCTAGTGCTGTTGCTGTCCAAGGAATCCACTTCAGCATTCATTAAGCGTCCCGGTAACATCCCACCATCATCATCGTTACACTCTCCGGCATTGCCGAATCCACTCTTGTGCTCGTCAGGGACCAGGCTCAGTGTAGCTCCTGGAGCCAGACTGTCACATCCTCATTTTAATACTAAATAAGCACTGTCTGCACAGCATGGGCAGCATTTCATTTTTCCTACACTTCCTTCAGAAGCAGAGTAATGTATTCTAGCAGAGGCGTAGTGGCTGCAATTCCTGAGAGCCTGCAGCAGACCAGCTCTGTGATAATCACTCACACAGGGCACAGCTGGGAAAGGCAGGGCTTATTATCCTGAATTTACAAACCTCAGTTTCCTTGTGTACCTCCGGCAGACAATACCATCTACATGACAGGGTGCTGCAAACCAGAAGAGACATATAGGAAATAGAGGTTTGGAAGTCAGTCACCTGGAGTCTGACCTCTGGCTCCACCACTCACCAACCGCAGGACCCCAGGCAAGCACTAAACTTTCCAGCTTGCTTCCTCGTCTGGAATGTGTGATAATGGTAATTCCCATTTTAGGGGCTTGAGATGAGGATTAAAGGATCCAGTGCATTTCAAGGGCTTGGTATGGGTTGTTTGGCACGTAATAAGCTCTTTAAAAAAAATGATTGTAATGATTTTTATTCTCATCACTATTATGGAAGGATCAGGAACAGAAAGAAGATTCAGCAAAGCAGACAGAGAATTGAGCACCAACAAGGCCAGGGAGGGGGGACCCGTGAGAGAGGGGAAGTCATGGAAACCGAAGGAAAAGATGCCAGGAAGGAGGGAGATGATGTAAAAAGGGCACTCAGAGGCCGGTATTTTCTGACGAGACAAAAGAGAGATTTTCATCTCTTGGCGACCAATGAGAATGAAGGCAGAAAGGAAAAAAATAAGCCCGAAGCTTTCAATGAAGGATATCCAACACGCAGTTCTCTAAAAGCCTTCTGGCTGACTCCATCATCTGATCTAATCTGAATACCCAGGTATTCAATTAGGGAGAATACATATTTCTTGAATAAAGGAAAAACCAATGTCACACAAAGTGAAATTAGAAAGAAATGTCGGGTTATATCAGTTGGTGAAATAAAAATCTGGACAATTTCAAATGTACACAGCAGAGAAGAGGATGGGGGAGGGAAGGAAAAGGGGATGAATCACAAAACAGGTTTCAAAGCAGCGGTCTATACCAAACACTCAAGCTCACTCCAGTGAAAAGGAGGTTGCTGGTACGAATAGAATTTATTTTTCTTTTTATTGTTCTACTCTACCTGGTAATAGAAAGAAATTATTACAGCATGATCTGTGTCTTTGGGCAAATCATTCAACAAGTGTTTGTAGGGTAACACTGAGAAAAGGTGAGCAGGAAATGGAAAAATATTCTAATATGAACTAGATGTGAAGGGTAGATACCCCCAAAGGGTAGATTTAGGGAGAGTAGGGACAAATGAAGGGTTAAAATCTATGTAAGCTGGGAATGTTGGGGGCTTCTGTGGCTTTGGGGGCCTCAGTGAAGCTGCCTCCTGCCTGTGGGCATGGGAGGTATCCCCTTTGCCTCTGGAGACATTGAGGTTGCTGTCAGGGGCCCAGAGATGCCCAGGAGGGATGCAAGGAGTGACCCTCTTGAGTCTTCTCCTGACCCAATTCTTGGCTAAATGACTGGGGCAGAAGGATCCTCCCAGTCAGTCTCCTTCTGGCCTTGAGTGTTAGTGAGGCTGAGGCTTAAGGCAAACACTGAATGCTAGGAGAGGATGGGAGGGATGGTGGGCAGAGCATGGAGTATGGTGAGCCTTCACAGCCTTCACAGCCTCCACCAAGAGCTCAGTGTGGCTCCACAGGACTAACCGGTGGTGACTGTACAGGTCAGATTGTGGGGTCATGAATGGAGCAGGAACAAAAAGCCAAAGAGGAGCTGAGGGGCTGTTTCTAGAACAAGAGCACTTCAAGCAAAACAAAAAGCCAAGGAGGAGCTGAGGGGCTGTTTCTAGAACAAGAGCACTTCAAGCAAGGTGCTGGGCATGACAGCCTAGGGCAGTGGTTCTCAACCTTCCTAACGCCTTGACCCTTTAATACAGTTCCTGTGGGTCTCAACCCACAGGTTCAGAACCGCTAGCCTAGGGGTTCTTATAGCACCTGGTTACTACCTCTCCCTCAGGGCCTCAGCCAGAACCCCCTTTGTCTCTACTGAGCAGGCCATCAACTGCTAGCACAATTAGAACCCTAGCACCCCGCCCCAAGACCTTCAACCTGATATTTTTAGTACAACACAGCCCAGAGTTCTGCATGAAACCCTAGGGTCTATGATTTGCCCCAAGTTCCCTGTCCCAATCTAGGTGTGAGTTCCCTGGTCACAGTGCCTTTCCCCTCTCCCCTTACCTGTCCAACTCTGTGCTCCCTGACACACCAGCTCCCACTGCTACACATTCTGTCCTGTTTGCTCTATGAAGCCCACATACCCATCACGGCAGGTTTCCTTGGGCCCCCAGATCTGTACATTCATTTCACTCTCTGCTCCTGCCTTAAATGCGCTCATTCCCATCCCCTTCTTAGCCTCCTCATGCTCATAAAAATAGGGACTTAGGCACACCTACAAGAAACAGAGGGAACTTTGGGACCTGGGGTCCCACATGTCCTCTTTTATCACCCTCTAATATGAGACCAGGAGATGGGACAGGGCAGTTTCCTTAGGAGCAGGGAACTTCCCTCTCTACTCTCCCTCCCATGAATGCCCTCTGCTCTGCTACAATAGTGTATAGGATAGGGGCTTCCTGGCTTATTGATTCCCATGTTCTTTCACATGCCCTGGCATCTAGACTCCTTCTTTCCATCCCTCCCCAGGAAGGGATTAGAGTCCTCAGTCTACTGTGTCCACTATCACAACAATCCCCAATCTTTTTGGCACCAGAGACCCGTTTCATGGAAGACAATTTTTCCACAGACCATGGGGGCAGTTTCGGGATAATTCAAGCATGTTACATTTATCGTGCACTTTATTATTATAATATTGTGATATATAATGAAATAATTATACAACTCACCATAATGCAAAATCAGTGGAAGGCCTGAGCTTATTTTCCTGCAACTGGACATCTGGAGGTGCTGGGAGACAGAGATAGCTGCAGGGTGTTGTTTATGTCCTCAGCACTACCTCATATCATCAGGCATTAGATTCTCCTGAGAAGGGTGCAACCTAGGTCCCTGGCAGGCTGTTTAGAGCAGGGTTTGCACTCCTATGAGAATCTAATGCCCCCTGGTCTGACAGGAGGGGGAGCTCAGGCGGTGATGCCAGCCATGGGGAGTGGCTATATAGATAAAGCTTTGCTTGATCACCAGCTGTGCAGCCCAGTTCCCAACAGGTGACTGATAGGTACCTGTCTGCAGCCCTGGGGTGGGGGAGGGAGCAGTTGGGGACTGCAGGTCTAGGATGTAACTTCAGTGTCCAGGGTGAGGCTTGGGTGCTGTCAGGAGCTGAGCCTGCTGATGCTAAGCTTAACTGGGGTGAGGACAGTGTCAGCCCACAGGAGAAATTCCATGTTGTGACCACCATGTTGTCCAGACGCAGCAGCAGCAATCTGAAAAATTCACCCAGAGGAAGAACTGCACCTCCCCAAAGTGAACAGAGCCCCTGGAATCCTCACCAGACTCCCCGCACCCCACCACCAGACTCCTCTGGATACATTAGAGAAGTATTGGGGGGTTGTCAACTAGTAAGTACCCTAATTTGGCTGTATGAGGTCAGTCGTGGTAAAGGGGCTCTGTCCTTTTGCCTTTGGAAATATTTCAGCCCAATTCTTCTTCCCTTTTCTTCACCTGCAAAATGAGCTTAACAAAAACCCCACCTCAGAGTGTCACCCACCCTTTATAGCTTTTCACTATATTTTTTATTTCTTCCTAAAATAATACCACAGAGACATTAAAATCAATGCTGATATATTTATTGACATAGAAAGCAGCTCACAACATATATTGTTTGGTGAAAAAATACAGAGTATAGAACAGCACTTATATTTACTTTCATCTATACATATATCTATCTATCTGGATACACTGGTATAGGGAAATATCTAGAAGGATGCTCATCAAAGGGTTGACAATAGTTATGTAAGGGTGGAGAGTTTGGGGTAATTTTTACTTTTTGTACTTTGAAGATTTAACAATGAATGGTACCACTTTCACAAAGAGAATAAAGCCATCAGGAAAATGGGCATACACAGAAGATAGAGCCATAGGCAGCGGGGTGACAAAGCAAGGGCAGAGGTCAGGCCATCTCCCTCAACTATGCTGGTATCCAAGACCCTCTTCTCCACCCCAAAAGATAGCCGCTTTGTGGAATGACTCATGCAATTAGAAGCCCCCCCCCCAGTTTTCCCATCATTGGACTCTGAATATAGATAAGGGCTCATTTAAAACTGGCGACTATCACCTTCCTCTGCCTCAAAGAGGTCATGGTGTGCACCTGACCCCTCCTCCTCAGGATTGGTCAGCTCCTGCAGGGTGATGATCAGGTTCTCAAAAACCTGGCCCTTGTTGCTCCCATTGCCACATGTTTCCTTTGAGTGTCCCTCCTCCCCACAATATGAGCAGCGGATTGTGTATTTTCGCTTCCTGCCTCTACGCACATCCCCAGGACCATCATTCTTATGCCCAGAACCATCACTGGAGGAAGCAACCTGAGGCACATAATTGTTGGTGGAATCAACAAACAGCACTTGATCCTGAGATCTGGCCTCATCTCTGAAGGAAGGGGCACCAAGTGGAGGATCCTGAGCCTCCACCAAGATCACATCCTCATCTGAGTCATCCAGGCTATCATCTATCTCTATCACGTTGCAGTCAGCACTGCCATTGGCCATCAATGGGGGGCCCTGAAACAACACAGGGCTAGATGCCCTATCCACCAGTGACTCAGACCTTTTGGGCCTCTTCCGTTTAATAAAGGTGTCATCCCAATCCTCTTCCTGCCTTATCATTTTGATTAAATCCAGGAAGTCAGGAAGGCGCTCCTGTTCATTTGCATACACCCTGAGAAGTTCCTTAATCCTGAAGCGCAGGTCCCTATTCAGCTCAGCCCCTAAAAGGAGCTGCTGCAGGCGGGTCTGGTTGGCATCTTTTTCAGCTAGGATGCCTGCCTGAATAGCATTCTGGAGCTGCACCTCTAAACGGATCACATAAAGGGAGGCTTTCTCCCCTTGCGCCTGCAGGGTGTTAAAAAATTTACCATGGGCAGTAACACTGCTTTCAGATTCCCCAAACACCAATTTCATGGCCCTCAAGAAATCTGCCACACTTAAGTTGGGGTTGGCTGCCTGAAGCAAACGCATGACCTCCCGGGCAGGGCCCCTAAGGGTTTTCATCAAGCGCTTGAGCTTCTCCTCCTCAGACATATTCCAATCTGGCAGGACCCCATTGACTTGGGTCAGCCAGTTTTCAAAGGTTTCCTCCCCCTGGGCTGGCACTACATTCCCTGAGAACAACTTCATGTTTCTTTCTGCCATGTTGGCCATTAAAGGACCAAGACTCCTCCCCAGGGACCTCAGCATAGAATGCGCCCAAGGCGGCAAGGGCGCGTTCTGCCCACGGCTGTTACCCACACGTGCAATGAGGCTAGCCATGACTAAGGATGACAAGCTGTCTGAATATAACAAGATGCTCAGGCTTTTTAGAAAAGCCTAATCTGCAGGTGTTCAGGGAGAAGGGTGGCTCTTCCTTCCTCCTATTTCCGTAGAGGCTGTAAAAAAGAAAAGGGGGGGGGGTCAAAAAGGGAGCAGGCTGCAGCCGCATTCTCTCCCTACCTAATATCCTGCAGTAGTTTGTTTTTGCCCACTACTAAAACTACCCTGCAAAAGATACGTAGTTACAATCTCCTGAAGCTAGTGAGTGCGTGCCAGCAAAGTGCCTTTTGCAGCCACCTCCATCCCCCTCCTGCCAGTCCTTCAAGAGGGACAACTGTTGCTTCAAATTCTAGGTATGACTGCGTGGAACCTATATTGGGCTCTCAAAAGAGAGCACAATGGTCACAGACTTGTGGGGATAAAATAATATTTCATTAACCTCGTAGTCTCAGGTCTCAACCACACCCCCTCGCAGCCTTTCCTCCCTCCCCCACGTTGTTTCTCCAATTCTTACACGAGCTCAGAAGCAAGAGCGCGCCTTTATTTTCTTTCCAGCCTCTGCAACTGACGCACTCGGTTAGAAAGCTCGCCTCGGGGGTACAGTCGATCTCTGTCCACAGGGGGTCACAGATCCGGGTCCTCTAGGCTGGCGTCAAGACTGCGCCACAGCAGAGGCGGCCAGGGAAGGGAAGGGTCACAAGCAGCGTCACCACCCATTCTACTGCCCCCTCCCTCCACCGCCTCCACTGTCACCAGGCAGAAAATTCCCCCCTTCTGAATGCGAGCCAAAGCCCCCTCCCAAGTTACATCCCCCACCCCGGGAAACCACCGGCCTACCAGTTCTGCAAGCAGCCGCACAGAATTTAAGTTCGAACGTGGCTCTGACGACCTACTACGAAGAGAAGGAATAGGAGTTGGACACACCCACCCCTATATACATTCCTCCCCAGGAAGGATTGAGAAGCCAAGGAGGTTCAAGGCAAATAGCTTGCGATTCCCTTCCCCCGTCCTTCACCCCCCCCCACCCCGGCTCCAATCCAGGCAAATCCTACCCAGTCGGCAGCATCCAGGTGAACCCCACCTCCTCCCTCTGCGCATCTGGGCCGCGGGAGCGCTCCTTCCCCTGCCTCGCAGTAACGGATTCTCCAAACCCGGAGCCGCCCAGCACCGGCGGGGCTTCCTCCTCCCCCGTCCACGCTGGGCAACTGCACCCCTTTTTTTTTTTTACCTGCGCCGCGCTGGCGGGCAGCTAAAGCTCCGGCACCACAGCTGTGGAGTCCACCTTCCAGTCTCCGCGGCCCTGAAGGAGAAAGGACCCGCGCAGCCTCAGCCGCTAAGCGACCCGGGGCTGCTCGAGGGAGCTGCTTCGCACGGCGGCCCAGCGAGGGGTAGCCGAGTCGAGGCAGCGCAGTTCCCAAGGCAGCTACGGAGGCTTTTATCCTCCGCCCGCTGAGACAAAAGAGCGTGAGGAGCGGGCCGTTGCAGCCAATCAGCGGAGTGCGGGGGCGGGCTCCCCGCGCAGCAGCGGCCAGAGGCGAGATTCGTCCGAGGGGGCGGGGGCGCTGCTGGCCCGCGCAGCGTCAAGTGCATCTTGGGTTGGCCTGCTGAGCCAATTTGCCTGTTACCAGGGAGTTTGCGACTCTTTCCTCCCCTTCCTCCAGCGCCCACCCTACCCTTCCCCCGTTTCTCCCTTGACTCAGCTCCGCATCTTGAGACCAGGTAAAAAAAAATATGGTGCGACGAAAATCAAGTACGCAATAAAAGTTCCCCATCTTTGTATAGGGGAAAATGGGGGAGAAAGAGCGTTAGAGCTTTTTAATAAGCTTCCACAGCCAGCTCCGCGAAGGAGGAGGCATTACGTCCTTTTAAAAGAGATGGTGCTTGGACCACCAAGGCTCTTAAATAAACATTCACTCTCAAGTACAGGTTCAAGACTGGTTGCATCATAATCATTTAGGGGAGCTTGTTGAAATGCAGATTCCGGGGCCCATCTCCTGGGGATTCTGATTTACTAGGCCAAGGGAGTTGGGGTGTGGTTTTCTGTTTAGTATAATTTTAATGAGTGACGTAGTTGATGCTTAGATGTACAGAGGTTTGTGAATATGTAAATGAGCCTGTCTCCAATGTGTCTGTCTACAGCTTATCTGTGGTGAAATGCAACTCAAAAACAGATGTTCCTACCTAGAATCCATGATCTTCCTGAAATTGCAAAGATTTTGGACTCTGTGTGAAGCCAAATAATGGCCACCAAAATATATCGAGTCCTAATCCCTGAAACCTGTAAATGTTACCCTACAAAGTAAAAGGGTCTTTGCAGATGTGATTAAGTTAAGGATCTTGACTTGATTATCTTGATTATCCAGGCAGATCCCAAATCCAATCACAGGTGTCCAGAAGGAGAGTCGTAACAGAAAGCAATGTGAAGACAAAGATTGGAATGATGTGACCATAAGCAAAATAATGCCAGCAGCCACCAGAAATTGGAAGAGGCAAGAATAACCTATAGACCTGATGACATCTTGAATTCAGGTCAGAGAAACTGATATTAAACTTCTGGCTTCCAGAATTGTGAGAAACTAAACTTCTCTTGTTTTAAGCCAGCAACTTTGTGGTAATTTGTTATGGTAGTGTCTTAGTCCATTTGGACTACTATTACAAAATACCTTCGACTGGACAGTTTATAAACAACTGAAATTTATTTCTCAAAATTCTGGAGGGTGAAAAGTCCAAGCTCAAGGCACCTGCATATTTGTGTCTGATGGGAGCCTATTTCCTGCTTTGTAGATGGTGCCTTCTTGCTCTGTCATTATATGGTGAAAGCAGTGACAGCTAGCTCTCTAGGGTCTTTTTGTTGTTGTTGTTGTCGTCATTGCCCTCTGTAGGGTGCTGTGCAGTCACAGCTCACAGCAACATCAAATTCCTGGGCTCAAGTGATTCTCCTGCCTCAGTCTCCCTAGTAGCTGGGACTACAGGTGCCCACCACAATGCTTGGCTATTTTTGTTGTTGTTGTTGCAGTTTTTTGTTTAGCTGGCCCAGCCCTGGCTTGAACCCACCAGCCCTGGTGCATGTGGCTGGCGCTCTACCCACTGAGCCACGGGCGCTGCCTCTCTGGGATCTTTTTCATAGGACGCTAATCACCTCCCAAAGGCCCTACCTCCTAATATTATCACCTTGGTGGGTAGGATTTCAACATGTGAATTTCTGGGGAACACAAACATTCAGACCATTGTCAGCAGCCATAGGAAACTAATATAGACTGTGTATTCTTACAAACCATAGCTTTGTAGATTTTTAAATGTGTCTGTGAGCCAATAATGGTTAAACCTACTCCCATGCAGTCTTTCTTTATCAATATCTTCCTTCACTTTATACTTGATGGAGAAGTGTGTGAAATCAAACACAGTTTGAACTAAACCCCAAAATGATAGCTCTCTGCCACTGCTACAGTGTTTGTTTCTTGGCTCAAGGATAGGTTGCTAGGTTGTTCTTTTGTGAGCTCTTGAAGGTATTTCTTTGCTAGATTTGGCTTAATTGGCTCCAGACAAGGAGCAACTTCATAGAAGGAACATGTAGGGCTTTCTAGAGTGTATGGGCCATGCGGACAGTGGCTCAATGTATTAGTTTACTGGGACTGCCATAAGAAAATAACATAGGCGGCTCGGCGCCTATAGCTCAACCGGCTAAGGCGCCAGCCACGTACACCTAAGGTGGCGGGTTCGAATCCCCAGCCCGGACCCGCCAAACAACAATGACGGCTGCAACCAAAAAATGGCCGGGCATTGTGGTGGGCGCCTGTGGTCCCAGCTACTTGGGAGGCGGAGGCAGAAGACTCGCTTGAGCCCAGGAGTTGGAGGTTGCTGTGAGCTGTAATGCCACGGCACTCTGTCCAGGGGGACAGCTTGAGGCTCTGTCTCAAAAAAAAAAAAAAAAGAAAATAACATAGGCTGGGTGGTTTAAACAACAGAATTTGTTTTCTTTCTCTCTCTCTCTTTTCTTTCTTTCGGTTTTTTTTTTTTTTTTTGAGACATAGTCTCACTCATAGCCTGGGGTTGAGTGCTGTGGTGTCATAGCTCACAGCAACCTCAAATTTTTGGGCTCAAGCCATCCTTTTGTCTCAGCCTCCCAAGTAGCTGGGACTACAGGTACCCACCACAACGTCTGGCTAGTTTTTATTATTTTTAGTAGAGTCAGGGTTTGGCTTTTCCTCAGGCTGGTCTTGAACTCCTAAGCTCAAGCAATGCACCTGCCATGGCCTCCCAGAGTGCTAGAATTACAGGTATGAGCCACGCCCCACCCATAGGCCTCATTTTTAATTTAATCACCTCTTTAAAGATCCTATCTCCAAATACATCTGGAGGTACTGGGGGAGGTTAGGACTACAACGTATGAATTGGGGGAACATGGTTCAGCCCATAGTATTTCATTTTCCCTTATGTCTGGTTCTAGGAAAGCATGTCATCCTTCCCATCTGTAAAGTGTGACTAGGAGGCTCCTGTGAGGCTTTTGGGAGTTAAGAGTTGTGGTAGCAGCATCCACTGCACAAGTGGACTGCCCAAATGCAAAGGAATTGCTGTTACTTGTTCTTGGAAGTACAGTCTGATACCTTTTGGTTGCTGTTTGGTTCATCTTTAACTTGCCAAAGTGCTTCACCTGCTCCTTTCTGTTTTCTTATTTCCAACCCCAATATCTAGAATTCCTTGGAGTAAATGATCTCAATTTGGAGATGAAACACTTTTATCTCAGGATTGTGGCCTTTCTCTTATGGATAGAAGAGTAGGATGGTGTTGGTGGAGGGCAGAGGGCTTTGCAGGTACAGAGAAGGCAGAATGCTCACTGTGCACAGTCAAGGGTGATGCTGGAAGTAGCTTAAGGGTTTTCTTTAAACTCTTGCTTTTGCTTACCGAGACCATGATACCTGCCCTTGGCCTCTAAGCAAAATCTTGTTCTGCATTTCAGTTGGCTTCATCAGCAAATCAGGTCATTTGCAGTTGGATTTGGG